GGATGTCTTTTATAGATTCGCATTGTTATTATTTCATAAAATCATTATATGTCATATTATTTATTCATTAATCAATCTAATTCAAATAATAATAATAATAATTAGATTTTGATGATATTTAGTTTCTTTTATAAATTAATTGGAAGACTTTTAATTACTATGATATCAAATATCGATTTAATAATTTAATTTATCGTTATAGACTTCAAGTATTCTCTTAAGAATTCATTTATTAATATATCATAAATAATTTATATAAACACACTGAATATAATTTATAAAGTTAAATATTTATACAGGATTATTACAAAAATTGATTTTTAGTTTAGAATTAAATATGAATTATTTCTTATTGTCGGAGTTTCTATAATAGTTAAGAAATTTTATTCTCATAGGTATCATTATAAAACCAATCACTATTTCATCATTCAACATTGCACATAGCGCTCGAATAATACTAAGACAATTTCGTTTTACTATACATTTACAATCATGAAAGGAATTCCACAAACACCCATTCAACTTTATAAATATTTATTACGAGAAATACCAAAACTTCCAAATGAAAGTCAATCATATTATCGAAATTATGTTAAAGGTGTATGTAATTCCACAATAATTAATTTTTATGTTTAAAATAATATTTCTTCTAGAATTTTCGTTCACATGCTGATGAAACAGATCCTGAGCGTATAAATCAAATAATTAAAAAACTTTATAATGATTTTCAATGGATTATTAAAAAAGTAAAAAAGAATATTTTTTAATTTGCATTTCTTTTATTACATATTCCTATTTTTTTTTCATTTAAATTTTAGTATGAAAACAAAACTGGAAAATAACTTTCCATTATTATTTAATCTATATTATCATTTTTTTTTCTGTATTTCTTAACGCACAAAAACTGATTGTAAGAAACAAGGAGGAAAAAAACACTCTATACAAAAAGAAACAAATCTACAAAATATCGATGTACATTTCTGAGATGATAAAATTGACTAATATTAGTATAGAAATGAATATAACACGCAACACACGCACACACAACAAACGTTGTTAGAAAGAATATCAAATCTCAATGAGAAAAGCAAATAGAAATATTAAATATGATCAAAAGCCGGTAAATAACTCGATGGACGTTGTAATGATGATGAACGTATAGCACGTTCAGATTTCGTATCAAAACGATCATTTTGTTCAGTTGATGTTGTACGGTAGAGGGCTGGCCGTTTGGAAGACGAGGGTGGTGGTCGAGAATATGTTGTATTAGTTGCAGGCGGTGTAGTGTGATAATCGATTATATTATACTAAAAAGCAAAGATTATTTATTCATAATGGATTGTTATATGACACACATTAAAATGCCATGCACAACGTCTCAAGTCTAAGATCAATAAAAGTAAAATGAATTCTTTTTTTGGTTTTTTCTCACATAGTTCTAATCATAGACATATAGCGTGAAATTTTGATTTCCATCATCTCAGTCTCATGGTATTCCATTACTCTCTTGACTGATTTTTATGCTAGTCAATCAAGACATCACTCATCTATATCGACATTTAGGATATGACGCGTCAATATAAATTACCTTTGACTGACAAGCGAAAACAGTAGTACATAAGCGACTAACAATATTCATCAGATCTCTTGTTTCGCATATAACAGCATCAACCTAAATAAATCTTTAATAAATTAATTCAATTTATAATTTATCACTAACTTTTGAAAATGTTGAAGATTTTCCTGAAGCTGGTGTTTTTAATTTTAATTTCAATTGATGACACATCAATGGTACTTGTTCTAATTGTATTAGAATTTCTTGTCGTGAAGTTTTATTTGGTACCTAAATGAAATTCAAATATACATATCTAT